GGTACTTTTATAAATATTAAGCAGGTGTAACCAAAGTATTTCTCAGAGTCCACACTGCTTGAAGTGTTTAATTCTCCTTGTCCTCATTCCTCCACTCTTCCCCTTAGTCTACCCTCTCCCCCCCCCCCCAGTATGAAACTGTAGACTTTGAGGGTGGCAGAGATTTTGAAACCCTTTCTTAATTCCTAGGTCCTTTTGTCCTTGTTAATTGCCATGACATTGATTCCGACTCATAGCAATCCCATGTGTGCGGAGTCGAACTTCTCCACAGAACTTCTGAGACTGACCTTTCAGAAGCAAATCAACAGGACTGACTTCCAAGGCACAGCTGAGGGGCTTCAACCCGCCAACTTTCTGGTGAATAGACAATTGCCTAACTGTCTGTGCCATTATATACCTGATACTTACCTCATGTTTTTCACTTCCCATGTACCTGGAAGTTTTTTCTCAGCAGATAAGGGAATATGTTTTTACTGCACCTTCACTGTCTTCAGGTGCTGGGTTAAATATAAAGTCCTCTCAAAGTGGTCCTACACCTGTAAACTCATTCCTGTGTCTGGGATTCATGTCCTATTCTCACGAGTGCATTTTTTGAAAATCTGCCTTTGCAGGCATTTAGCTGAGGTCCTGGTGTGGCGCTGTGGGGTAATGTGCTGCTCTGCAATGTCAGTTTGAACTGTAAGGTCAGCTGTTCAAGCTCACCAGCCGCTCATTGGAAACCCTATACAGGGTTGCTATGGGTCGGCACCAACCCGATGGAACTTAACAACAACAACTGTCTTTTGAACTTTGATTATATAGCCATTAATTATGTACTCTCTCAAGTAGCTTATAACTGTAATCTTTAAGGGGTAAAGATCGCCATGACTATTTTCACTTTTTGGTTTATTGATTACCACCAGGAATTATTTTATGTGAAACTTTTCTCTTAGGAAGTCAACTCGATAGCTACTCCTCATTCATTTTGAAAGTGTTGGTTACAAATAGTCTTGTCACTGAATAATGGAGTAGTCAAAATTACTAATAAATTAATTAAAATGTATTTATAAACTCAGTGCATAGCCACAAATGAACTTACTTTCCTATCGATCATTATACTGGTCATTAACTGCTGAGAAAATGCTGCTGTAACTAGCAGAGAACATTGGCCAATTCCTTTAGTAATTGTTGGATTCCATCATTAAGATTTTAATATTCTGGAAAATCATTATTCATTTATTCCGTGTCTTCACAGTGTGTGGGCAGAGTTTTGTGGCTGGACGTTTTGTGGCAAGACCTAAGTTCTCAGGCTGGTATTAACTTTCATTGCCAGTCAGTGCTCCTTTAAGTAATTTGTAGTTTGGACGTTTGTATTTATGTCACGTTTTCTTAATAGACCATTTCTGCATAGATTTTTTTCAGGGTACTTGAATGTGTGTTGGGGAGATCTTGGGGAAATCCCTCTCTATACCTGTAATTTCAGATGCTACAATTCAGCAGTATCTGTTTTCCTAGGACGCAAGTGGGCTTGGCAGACCGTTGTTTTAGAGGCAGTAGTTGTCCATTGATAGAAAATGCATTTTCCATGTGGGAGGCCTGGGTTCGATTCCTGGCCAATGCACTTCATACACACTCACCACGTGTCTGTCTGAATAGGTTTCAGCAGAGCTTGCAGACTACTATGGCCTAGGAAGAAAGGCCTGGCATTGACTTCTAGAAAGAAACCATTGAAACTCTATAGATCCCAATAGTCTGCTATAGAACCAGCTGTGGGTGGTAGTGTTTCATGCTGTTGTGTGGGGGTCACCATGAGTCAGGAGTGACTCAGTAGCTTCTCACTACAGCTGTTACTTTTCATAAGGTTTCCCTTTTAAGAGTTAGATACACTTCAGCAGTGGTGCAGGGAACTGAGTAGTTACTGCTGGTGTTAGGTGCTGTCGAGGTGATAGTGTCTCATAGTGACCCTGTACACCACAGGAGGAAACGTTGTGCAGTCCTGTGCCAAAGTCACAATTGCTGCTAACCCAGAGCCCATTGCTGCTTTCACTGTGACAGTCAGTCTTGCTGGGGTCTTCCTCTTTTTCTCGAACTCTCCACCTTACTAAACATGATATCCTTCTCCAGGGACTGGTCCCTCCTGATAATGTGTCCAAAGTATGAGAGATGAAACCTGGCCATCCTGGCTTCCAAGGAGCACTCTGGCTAAACTTCTTCCAACACAGATTGGTTTTGTTCTTTTGGCAGCCCATGGTACTTTCAATATTCTCCTCCAACACCATAACTCAAATGCATCAATTCTTTTATCTATTTCTTTTACATTCTTCCATACTCACTGTCCAACTTTCGTATGTATATGAGATTATTGAAGATACCATGGCTTGAGTCAGGCGCTCAAATTGGCATTTTTGTTCTTCAACACTTTAAAGAGGTCTTGTGCAGCAGATTTACCCAATGCCATACGTCGTTTGATTTCTTGACTGCTGTTTCTGTGAGTGCTCATGGTTAATTTGATCAAACTGAAGTCTGTGACAACTTCAGACTTTTCTCCATTTATATGCATTTTGTTTGTAGGTCCAGTGGTGAGCTTTTTTGTTTTCTTTACATTGAGATGTAACCCACACTGAAGGCTGTGGTCTTCATCAGTATTTTAAGTCCTGTTTACTTTCAGCAAGCAAGTTTGTATCATCAGCGTATCACAGGTTGTTAATAAGACTTCCTCCAATCCTGATGCCACGTTTTTCTTCATATAATCCAGCTTCTTGGATTATTTGCTCAGCATACAGATGGAATAAGTGTGGTGAAAGAATACAACCCTGGAGCACACCTTTCCTAATTTTAAACCATTCAATGAACTCTTGTTCAGTTTGAACAACTGCCTCTTGGTCTAGATACAGGTTCCTCATAAACACAATGAAGTGTTCTGGAATACTCATTCTTCACAATGTTGTCCATAGTTTGTCATGATCCACACAATTGAAAGCCTTTAGGTAGTCAATAAAGCACAGGTGAAATCTTTCCGGTGTGTCTGACATAAGCAAGGATTTCCCTTGTTCCACATCCTCTTCTGAATCCGGCTGAACTTCTGGAAGTTCTCTGTCCATGTGTGGTTGCAGCCATTTCTGTCAGATGATTTCCACATCCATTGGGTCACCTGTCTTTGGTATGGGCACAAATGCACATCTTTTCCAGTCAATTGGCCATGCAGTTGTCTTCCGAATTTCCTGGCAAAGATGACTGATTGCCTCTAGGGCCGCATCACTTAGCTGAAAGATTTCCATTTGTATTCCATCTATTCCCAGAGCCTTGTTCTTTGCTAGTGTTTTCAGTACACCTTGGACTTCCTCCTTCAAGATCATTTGTTCGTGATCATATGCTATCTCATGAAATGGTTCAACGTCGACCACTTCTTTTTGGTACAGTGACTCTGTTATTCCTGCTATCTTCTTTGGATGTTTTCAACATCATTCAATATTTTGCCCATAGAATCCTTCAATACCATAAGTCAAGGCTTGAATTTTTTTCTTCACTTACCTCAGCTTGAGAAATGCTGAGTGTGGTCTTCCGTTTTCTAACGCCAGGTCTTTGCACATTTGTTCATAATATTTGACTTTGTCTTGAGCTGACCTTTGAAATCTTCTGTTCCGCTCTTGTGCAGATTGAGTAGTCATCTGTAAATTTCTCGGTCAAAGAGTCTGCCTATCAATATCCCAAATAAAGTTAAAGTAAGGTTGGTGGTTCAAGCTCACCATCTGCTCCTCAGAAACCCTATACAGGGTCGCTATGGGTCGGAATTGACTCGACAGCACTTAACAACAACAACAACAATGTCATGATTAAATGCCATTATAGACACCTAATGTCTATTCTAAAACAGAATATAGATCTATCCTCCACAGACTCTCTGTCACTGCACATATAGGTCTCAGATGAGTCAAGAACGCTCTGTGGTTCTTCCCAGTCAGCTAGTAAGTTTCCCTGGTTCCAGGATTATCGAGCATCAGAACTTTTGGAGCTTTCCTTCAACCTACAGAGAATGGAGACAATAGTGCTGACAGTACCTGATACAATTTTATTAGAACTCAGAAGGCTTGGACTCATGACAATTTAGAATTTGGATTAAAAGAATCATGCCATGATTAGTTTCAGTAGGCCTCAAAGCACCCAGGTTCCTGGATGATGCAGTGTGTGTCATCTGTTGACCTAAAGGTCAGTGGAAGCCTGCTGAGCTGTGTCCATAGATACCGCAGCCAAGGGAATCATACGGAGCAGTTGTACTCTGGAACACTTGGGGTCACCACATGAGTTGACATCAAAGACAGTGAGTTGGGTTTGGGTAAACCAAGGCGCTCCTCAGAAAAATGGTTCTTGTTCCCTGTTTCCAAATTAGAAAAACAAGACCCAGAGAGAACTGTTATTTTTATCAACTTTACTTTGTCAGTTAACAATAAAGTGACAAAACTATTGATTTTGACCTAGTGTTCTTTCCACTAAAACTTTGAGAAATATTAGGGAGGATACTGATTAAATAAAAAGTCACTTTGCAGCATCAGACAGAGGACAAATAAGATCAAAAGGATTAAGCCTTAAGTGTTTTCTAGTCCTGGCGTGGCAGTATAGGATAAGCACTGGACCACAAGGTCATAGGACCACAAGGTTGGCAATTCAAATCCACCAGCAGCTCCTTGGAAACCCTATTCAGAGTTGCTATGAGTCAGAATTGACTAGACAGCTCTCACCAATAACACCAACAACAGCCTCTCTGCTTAAAGAGATGGATGATCAACTCCCGTTAAATACTAAAGATTAAAAAAATAGAGTCACGGTGGTGCTCATCTATAGCTTTTAATGGGTGATGGTGACAAAGATTGAAGGATCAAAAAAAGCAGTACTTTCTTCTGCTTATAGCATGAATCAAATTGACAATATCTTACGTTTTTCTCCTACTGTGACTTCCAGGCTAGAGGACTTAATGTATAGATCTCCAAGAGATATTCAAGTGTGTTCCTTTTTTCATCATTTAGTTGTCTGTTTTGATGCCAAGATAAACTTTGATGACAACGCAGAATTCCGACAAAAAGACATATTTGCCATGGATGACAAATCAGAGAGTGAACCCATTGAAAATGAAGCTGCCAGATATGATCTAAAATACATAGGACTGGATGGGAACATCGCATGCTTTGGTAAGAAAGCAGTTACACCAAAAGAATGCTTTTCAGATTTTCACGGATTTGACATACCCATGATTTCTGAAATGTTATTTCCTAATAACAAGTAAACATGTAAGTATTTTTTCTAGTCACAAAGTTTTAGGAAGCAATCCAGAGTTTCACTGAGAAATGCATTTTGGTTGATGGCCATGGGATTAAAGCAGATGGTCTGAGTTTTGGCACCATTGACATTTTGGTCTAGATAATTCTCTATTGTGTCAGAGTGCCCTGTGCACTGGAGTATGTTTAACAGCATCCTTGGCATCTACCCACTCGATAATACTAGTACTCCACAGTGTGGCAACCAAAATTATTTCCAGACCGTTGCCAAATATATTTGAAAAGGTAAAATCATCCCAGTTGAGAACCAATGATGAAAAGAGTCTCAGTTAGACTTTGCACCATAAAAACCAGACCCTTCGCTGTAAAGTCACTGTAAATATGCTAGGAGCTATTCTGAAATTTATATTTAAAACAAAATTGCTTTCACAGTGGAAGTATAAGAGGTCCTGTACTTGGATAATTATACCAAAAGTTCAGATTTTGTGATAACCTAATGATAATAAAATATGAGGGGACTTCAGAAAATTCATGGGAGAACTCCATTATCTTCTAATTCCACTTTTCCATGAAGTTTTTGAAGCCCCTTTGTATTTAATCCATTAGGCTAGTTTATTAATAAAACAACTAATTTCATCGTTCTCATCTGAATTTGTGAAAACGGCTTATTCGGCTGAGATAAGAACGGGCTCATAGAGCCAATACAATTTCTGTTACTGTCCACAGCTTACAGTACAGAGATTTATACCCTTCTGATTTAATTCCAAGAGACTGTGTTTCTTGTAGAACCAATTCATTGTGCTTGAAACTGAGGTCTTAATCTTAATGGAATTAAAATAAAAAAGATTTGTAGCTCATTAAACCAACACTGTCATTATGTTTCGAACTGAAGAAACTCATCCAGTAGTTTGCTGTTCAATACAATAGAAGATGACATCCAATTACAAGTGATACCAAAGGCCTTGGTTTGTGTTGATGCAGTAATTCCAGTGAACCATATCACTTGCGTCATTCTGATCCTGATAAGCTAATGCATTCTCAATATTTGTAAGCATTTAGGAAGAAGAGAAATATAATTGTGTGTTTAGAACGCATTAACTACAGATTGTTTGTAGTCCCTGTAGGGATGTATCCAATTTGATCAGATAGGAGCAGCAAAAGCTATGATGAGCACTTTGCAAATTGTTTGAAGATATTGCATAAACCGTTTGTAATTTTAAATTAATTTTAATTAGAGAATTGAAAAACCCAAAAAGTAAAGGATATTTTACCTTGAAGTTTTTAGTGTGTTCAAAAGATTTTCTTTTCTTGGTTTTTTTCCCACCTAAGGGAAGTGATTTTGTGTAATTAAGCAAAAGAAGTGCAATCAATCTATAAAACTTGGCTCCTGAAAACATTTGTGGTGTTAAAACTTTTGTTTCTTTTTAAGAAGCACTCCTAAGATTGTGGTATGTGATGCTTCTAGTTTCAACAATCAGGAGGCTAGTAAACCGTTGTCATTTGTTCATTTGCTAAGTTTAAGCAGGTATTGTTATTTAAATATGTATGGTTATCCTTGTTGTTGTTAAGTGCAGTATACTTAAGTGTAAAAAGTATGGTACTTTATTGAAGGTGGGGTCTCTGTGATTCAACCCAGGCAGGATGCTACGGTCAAAGGAGCATATTTGTCAGAAGAAAGTTTAAAGGAATTCCCTTCTTTCTCTAAATCATTGAAAGGATCTTTAAAAGAATGCAATTCATAGACCCTGGACACTTCTCCCAGACTTTCCTTCTTTCCCAGTTATCTTACACTAGTATACTTTGCCGCTCTTAAAACTCCCTCCATTAATACTTGTTGTTGTGAAGTGCCGTCAAGTCAGTTTCGACCCATAGCGACTCTGTATAGAGTTTCCGAGGAGCAGCTGGGGAGCTTAAACCGCCAACCGTGTAGTTCAAAACGGCTTTGCAGTCGGGCGCATTAACCCACAGCGCCACACCAGGATTCCAGTACTAGCCCATATTTATTACTTTCTAAATGCTTCCTGTCTCTCCGTTACCCAGATCGATTGAACGTCTCAATCTGTCTTTTTACTCATTCTCAGATCATATTGGTTTATTCTTTGTATGCAAATTTTCTGATTCTTTTTCTTTAAAGTCTTCTCTTTGGGCAGTATGTTGTTGTTGTTGTTGTTGTACCCGGAGTCGGTTCCAGCTTATAGCAACCCTGTAGGGTTTCTGAGGCTACAAATTTCTACAGGAGCAGTTGTTGTTGTGATGTGCCGTGGAATCGGTTCCGACTCATAGCGACCCTGTACAGGGTTTCCGAGACTGTAAATCTTTACGGGAGCAGAAAGCCTCATCTTTCTCCCGTGGAACAGCTGGTAGTTTCGAACTGCTGATCTTGAGGTTAGCAGCCCGATTCGTAACCACTACGCTACCAGAGCTCCTTACAGGGGCAGTAAGACTCATCTTTTCTACCGCAGAGCTGCTGGTGGATTCAAACTACTGACCTCATGGTTAGCAGCCTAACATATAACCCACTTTGCCACCAGGGCTCCTTTGGGTAATACGGTGGTGGTGGTGGTGGTGATATTATGCCATCAAGTTGGGTCTAACTCTTAGCGACCCTGTATAATTTCCAAGGCTGTAAACATTTACAGGAGCCGAAAGCCTCATTGAAACTCATTGAAATCCAGTGAAACTGCTGGTGGGTTTGAACTGCTTACTTTGAAATCAGCAGCCCAACATGTAGCCACTACATTACTAGGGCTCCTTTTGGGCAATTTGTTATTGTTATGTGCTGTAGAGTCAGTTCCGACTGATACCGACCTCCTATAGAGTTTCTGAAGACAACTGGTGGGTGTGAACTGCTAACCTTGTGGTTCACAGTCCAGTGCTCATCCCATAGCACCACAAGTGTCTGTACCCTTTCATGTTATTAACTGTACCCATCTTGTGTGTCATTTCACAGTGAATGGTGCCGGGCTGGCCATGGCGACCTGTGATATCATTTCCCTGAATGGGGGGAAGCCAGCCAACTTCTTGGATCTTGGAGGTGGAGTAAAGGAAGCCCAAGTGTATCAAGCATTTAAATTGCTCACAGCTGACCCTAAGGTAACGTGGTTTTCTCCCCACCCAGAGCTGCCCTGGTTTTGGTGCTTAGGTTTAGTAATGGACTCTGCAGCCAGACATGCAGATTCTACCTTTATAAATGGATAATTTTACTCCTCTTCAGAGAAAGTCAGTCAAAATTTCCTCCCGGATTTGATTTCAGAGGCTATGCTTACCAAGCTGTGGCTGTTGTTGTTGTTGTTGTTGTTGTTAAGTGCTGTCGGGTCAGTTCAAATCCACAGCGACCCTGTATAAGGTTTCTGAGGAGCGTCTGGTGAGTTTGAACTGCTGATCTTACAATTCAAACTGAGTTTGTAGTTCAGCACATTAACCCACAGGGCTACATCAGGACTCCTGCTTACCAAGCTCTGGCAGATACGAGGCAGTAAAAGAGGGACAGCTACCTCAACGAGGTGACATTCATTGGCAAAATCTTCGTATGGGTAATTTACACCAACGAGTTTGGTACTGTACTTATGCTGGAGATTAAATTTGGAGACAAAAGAAAATTTTAGAATTATAGAGTCATATATCACAGGAAATAACGGCCCTCATTTCTTTCGATATCATTTTTAATTTTCATCTTTGACCAAAATAGTTTGTAACACACGCAGTTAGTAACATGTCACTGTACATGGTTCTGTGGTTTCCATTGGTGTCCTTTTGTGTGTACCATTTCTCCTTAACCAGCACTTTCTCGTGGCGGTTTTAGCTTCCAGTGTGTTACACTATGCTATGTGTATAGAGGTGGTGGTTGTGCACTGTGAAGTCGGTTCCAAGTCTTAGGACCCTGCACAGTTTCTGAGGCTGAAAATCTTCATGGGAGTACAAAGCCTCATTTTTCTTCCTGGGAGTGACTGTTGACCTTGAGGTTTGCAGTCCATCTTGTAGCTCACTATGTTAGCAGAGCTCCTTCACGTGTATAGTAAGCATTCAGTAAATGTTTATTCAGTTAGTCCAGTCCCCGTGTGCTTTGCTTCAGCTGTCGGTACTCACTTGTCTGTGATGACAAGGTTTTGTTGATATTTATTATATGGAAAGGAGCTCTGATAGCGTAGTGGTTACAAATCGGGCTGCGAACCGCAAGGCCAACAGTTCGAAACTACCAGCTGTTCCGCGGGAGAAAGATGAGGCGTTCTGCTCCCATAAAGATTACAGCCTCGGAAACCCTGTACAGGGTCGCTATGAGTCGGAACCTACTCCATGGCACATAACAACAACAACAACATTGTATGGAAACACGAGAATTTTTTTCCTTGTAACTTTGTATTGTGATTTGGGTGAAGTTTACAGAGCAAATTAGTGTTCCATTCAGCAATTCATACACATTTTGATTCATGGCCTTGGTTGCAACGCCCACGAAGTAACTCTTTCCACTGCCTCCGTGTGTTTCCGCTGTCCATTCGTTCTTTCCTATCCTTTCCGGCCTTCTGAGCTTTTTTGTTGTTGTTTAGTGCTGTGGAGTTGGTTCCTACCTATAGCGATCCTGTATAGGGTTTTGGAGGAGCAGCTGGTGAGCTTGAAACGCCAAACTTGCGGTTCAAACAAGTTTGCAGTCCAGCGCATTAATTAACCCACAGTGCCACACCAGGACTCTGAGCTTTATCCCTGGGCAAATACTGACCGTAGATTTTGTATAGTTAGTTGTTCCTGGGAGTGTGTATGTCCCTGTTGTTACTAGTTACTTTATAGGCCTGTCTGTGTTTTTGTAGTGTACTGTGAGTCGATTCAGACTCGTAGTGACCTCGTATAGGGTTTCTAGGGTTTCTGAGTGTGACTGAACTACAGTCCAGTGCTTATCCTATACTGCCGCACCAGGACCCGGGTTTGGTTGAGCCATGGGAGGGAGTTTTGTTCCAGGCTTAAAGGCTGGCTTAAAAGAGTTGTAGCCGCAAGGGTTCCAGCAGTTTCTCTCAGACCCGGAAGCCTGGTGTTTCCTTTCTTCTGAGTGACTCCACCTTTTTCTCCCAGTAGACCTTTTGTTGTCATCGCTTTCAGAACAGTCAGTCAGGGCAGCTAATGCCATCCCAGTTCTGCTCATCGCAGGGTTGTGGAGACTGCAGTTTGCATCATCCATTAGTCCTTTGGAGTATTTGTTTCTCTGTGTCTGATTTTCATCACTTCTTCTTTGCTGCAGACAGAGAAGACTTCTTTATTTAATTGTCTTAACACACCTATGCCAGAACCATTTGCTATTAAACTTTGAAAATCATCATTTTGATATTACTAGCATAGCTAATATATTATCTTGGTGTCTAATATATCTGAAGACCCAGGAAATCTATTATCATTACTAAGAAAACCATGATTAAAAACAATGCCCAATTTTTCTTTTTAACGTCACCTGAACTTTTAATCTGGAAGTTTCATATTAATATGTTGTGGTTGTTAAGTGCCATTGAGTCAGTTCCTAGTGACCCTGTAGAGGGTTTCCTAGGAGCAGCTGGTGGGTTTGAACCACCAACCTTGCAGTTCACACGTAGCCTATTTTGGTTCACATGCATGCAGTTTTGGTTTATATTAGTAATGTGCCTCTCAGTTTTCATTACGACTTTGGTCATTGGTAACCTTTTGTTTTTGCTAAGTCCTTTCTTCTGATTTACAGAATAAATGGGAAAATATTACCAGCTAACTATCTTGTTTTCCAAGAGTGTTCAGGAGCAGCAATGTCATTAAAGTCCAAAGTCACGTAGCCCTGGAGAGAACATGTTTATACTTGGTGGTTCAGTTCCCATGAGTCCCTGTTCTCCTTGTTTCGCTTGGTATTTAATCAGTGGCTCGTTCATCATTCATTAGTTTACTTATCCCCACTTCATTCTGTTTCCTAAGAGTAAAGTTGTTTTCCTCCCAGAGATTTCCAACTAGTTGATATCTGTAGCTAGTATGAACAAACAGATCATCCCACACTTTCTTTCAGCTGCTTGAACCACAGAGTACCCAGAGGATAGATGACTATAATAAAATACTCACCTTTTAGCATTTACTGAAATGCACTGCAACGAATAATAAAGAGGCGCCAAGGGATTAAATCTACCAGAACAATCATTGGGTTTTCTTTGAAATGTCTTTTCTTAGTGGCTGATCCAGAATTTTAATTTTGTAAAAGTACAGAAAAGAAAGAAAAAAATCACTCACGGAGCTTTTTTTTTTTTTTAAAACCATTCTCTTCAAAAAATTTTACTTCACCCAATGGAATATTTTCAGATGCTTAGAGTATTTAAACTTTTTTGAGACTGGCTGTCATCTTGAGTAGATAAAGGTATGTGGGAGTTATTTTATTTTCCCTGGCTATATCAGGAAAATGAATGCATAGCTCATCATACAGTATACTTTTCAAATCTTGCAGTTTTAAAGCTGGTTCAAAAGTATAGAAATGTATTTTCAATCTTGGCATTGTTTCACAGATTTTAGAGAACAGAAGCTAAAAAAAAACAACAGTATAGACAAGTTGATTTGATTTTGCAAGGAAATTGGCTATGGTTCTGGCAGTAATTATTTCAAGTAGAACACCATCTAGCTGCCCAGAAGTAGAGGTTCCCAAGAGGCTAAACCTAATTATTTTCAAAGTATCGATTTTCTTGTTAGATGTAAAGATCAGTCATTTGAATACACTGAAACTGAAATTACAAAGGGCCTGCTCTTGTTAAACTTAAATCAAATCATCTGATACTAACAACCATTTGTCATATGTACAAATTAATTCTACCGATCAAGTGATGCGCAGCATCATTCAAGTAAAATATTATGGATTGGCATATATTTGAGCTCAAAATGTCAGCCATTGAACTGAAATTTTATTTATTTTTCCTTTCCTTCACTAATTAGCCCAACTGCTATTTTTTTCATTTGCTTATGTAATATGTGCTAACCATATACTTTTCAAAATCAAGCCTCCAAAAAGCTAGTAGTATACTAAAGGTAAGAAATTTACTTACCTTGGCCCCCTAAATGAGGAAGGTTATGTGATTTATGCCGACTGCCCTTTCCTGATACTCATATCCACAAGCTATAAGAATTCTAAGTTTTAGAATTTGAAATAAAAGACAAAGCATAATTCAGGAAAATAAAAACCCAAGTCATGCTGTCTCTTTAAATGTGCTCAGATTTTGTAACAGATGACCACCATTATGACTATTATTACTATTCCCTAGAATCTTTGGAATACTCATGTTTAGAATTGTTACAGTCAGATGATGAACACCTGATCAGATATATTCTACCACCAGCAGGACAAACGCTATTATCTTTCTCTCATACCAAGCCCAGCTGGAAAACAAGAGAATTTGAAAATATTTAATGATACACTTCATGTGGATCCAGTTTAGTTACTGATCCATTTTGAAAAGACTCTTAGACAGTTTGGCAGAGGAATTTTGTTTCAAGTAGATTATAAGCAAATAAGGTACCTATTATCTATGTTGTTCTTAAGTGCCTTCAAGTAGGTTCCAACTCATAATGAACCTTTAATAGGGTTCCTCCCGTGTGGCTGGTGAGAGTTTCAACTGCCATCCTTGAAATGCAGACCGATCTTGTAGTCCAGGGCTTTCTCTGTTGATGAACATTTATGTTGTTTCCACTATAGTAAATTATGCTACAGTGAACAATGGTGTACAAGTCTCTCTTTTCAGTCTCTGCTTGTAAATCTTTTGAGTATATAGCTAGGAATAGAATTTCTGGGTCTTACGGAGACTTGGTGTGATGTTGTAAGATAAGCACTGGACTGCTAGCCACGAAGTCCGCATTTCAGGCCCACCAGTGGATTCTTGGTGTGGCGCTATAAGATCAGCACTGGACTGTGAATCATAAGGTTAGCAGTTCAAACCCACCAGCTGTTCCTTGGAAATCCTGTATAGGATTGCTGTGAGTCTAAACCCACTGACAGCACTCAACAAGCCCCCCCTCAGAAACACTATACAGGGTCACTGTGAGTCGGAACAGACTCGATGGCGGTAGCAGCAACAACTAATGCTAGTTTTATTTTTAATTTTTTAAGGAAGCATCAG